TATGTGACGTTACCAAAATTACTTATTGGCTTATATTAAGGTTACCCTGCCTTAATATAAGCCAATAAGTAATTTTGGTATTGTGTCATTGGAAATCCGGTTGTCGCTCATGTCCACCATTCGAATACATAATTACATGCAGATGTGTACGTACATATGTAGGTATATGGATGGTGTTTGGGCTTCGTTGGCAAGTGTACATAGGACATGTGCATTGGAAAGTGCACAAACAAAGCCAAATAAAATCATATGCATGATAATTTGAGCACAACCAACACTTTTAGAACAAATCGAAGTTAATATTTGAGTGTCGTGGTGGCAATATAGATAATGCGAATGCATATGTATATGCACGTATTTATGTGAGCACACAACTGCAATCCTACAAGGTGCGCAATACATAGAATGTATGTCGTATGTACGTACATACAACCAGACTAGATTATCACAATTCCATAGCCAATAAGTGGAAAACGACCGAATTTGGTACACGATGAGTCTATGTTGTCATAAACAGAGTAATTAAACATTTGTGCATGTGTATGTTTGCATAAATTCATCACATATGTATATCATCTGCATGTATCTGTATGTACGTATTCCGATATTCGAAGAGCATCAATAACACATTACAATCGTTACATATGTATGCACACACATTTGGGTTTCGGGGTCCACAAAACGTTTGGGCAGCAGCTTTTCAGGTGTTTAGCTTAGAGACGAAATGCCGAATTGAAAACGCGCTTTGCTAGTAGCTTTTCTCGCTCTATTTACCACCATAAAATCCATAAGCGTCAGCTATTATAAACAAAGATTTGCAAATGTTGTTGCACATACATATGTGTGCATATGTATTCATTTAGACACTTTTTGTTTCGTTTCTATTGTAATCGTTATCGATGTCGCTAGCGATGATCATGTGACTATACATTCGATAGCACAGCACTGCACCGTTTCGATAGTCTAGTATTAAAAAAACACTGAGCTGGGCGAGACAACACAACACTGGCCAGCCGATAATCAACCAAATTGTTAAAACTATATTGTGCGTACGTTTGCAGTGCGCCAAGACAAGCAGGCATCCGTTCCATTCCAGCTGATGTGCAACTGAATCGAAGCCGATCGCTTCGACTCTCCGCCGGTGCACGCAAATCCACCTCCACTCCACCCAATTCCTCACAATGATTGGAGCCAGAATCGGAATCGGAAAGCTCGGGCCCTGTATGGCCCTAGTTGCGGTGAGTCGACGTGTTCTGCTCTGTCTGGTCTGGTCTGGTTCTCTTCTCCCGCCCGCTGAATCATTTGGCGCAGGCCGGCTTTATGGCCCCTCGGAGATCGGAACTGGCACTGGCACTGGCACTAGCACTAGCACTAAGTCGCACTGTTTCTTCCACTTCCAGGTTCTGCAGCTCCTCCAGCAGCCCCAGCCGGCTGATTGCGGAGCCGTGTCCATGACCAGTGATAATATCGATATGACCCTAGGTGAGACACCCACCCGCTACGCAGCCAGCGAGGCTGCAAACAATTAACTGACTTCCATTGACGTGTCACTAAACAAAATCAGCGGCTCGTTCAATTCGGCACTGCCAACGTGGTAACTTGCGTTTTAGACGATTTGCGAAAGGAGAAGATGCAAACGCTGATTAAAATTGTTTTGAGTTTATTTCGATTGCATCAAAGAAAGCATTAGCCATCGCAGTGGCTGGATTTGGAATTACAGCTCCGAAAGTGTGAACACTCCATTTGGGCTGAACGTGTATCCTATCCACTGAAAAAAAAAACGCTGCAGTGCTAGTCTACTATATTTATATATATTTACTATATTTATTATTCCTTGACTTCTGCCTCGTTTCATGAAAACCCGCCAAAAGACAATTTTTCGAAATTGTTTTACAATATTTTAGTACTGTTTGTATCACATTGTTTCCCACCAGTGATCAATTTAATCAGCTTAATATGTATTTTGAAACAAGAATAATTAATTTATAATTGATTTATTGAAGGGGTTTCATTTTGTTCTATGACGGGGAGCCCGAATTCGCAGTTGCATTATATGATAAGCTGGATCTTAAGAAAACATTTGTCTTAAAACCTGTTTTTATATTTAATTTAAATTTAAATTTAATGAACTTGCGTTCATTAAGTTTTTAAACTAAACGTTACAAATGTATTTTGAACAATCAATCAATCGCTTTTCGTTTGTCATACCTAATATACACATTAAGTCTCATACAGAACTTTAATCTTTTAACGTTAAACTCGCTTTGTTTCTTCCAGCGTCTAATGAATTGGTTTTCCTTAATTTTTATGCGGAGTGGTGTCGTTTTAGTAATATTTTAGCACCTATATTCGGTGAAGCGGCTGATAAGGTGAGTCAAATGGATTGGCAGTAAAGTTGGAACAAATTTGCATATAATTAATAATTATAACATGAGCATAAACTAAGACTTGGTAAATCCATGACGACTAACTGAGTCTCCGTTTACAGATTAAAGCAGAATTCCCAGAGGCTGGTAAGGTGGTTCTCGGAAAAGTGGATTGCGACAAGGAAACGGCAATTGCTTCCCGGTTTCACATAAACAAGTATCCGACCTTGAAGATTGTCCGCAATGGGCAGCTCAGCAAGCGCGAGTACCGGGGCCAGCGTTCCGCAGACGCCTTTCTCGAGTTCGTCAAGAAGCAGCTGGAGGACCCCATCCAGGAGTTCAAATCCCTCAAGGATTTGGAGAATCTGGACTCAAAGAAGCGCCTCATCTTGGGCTACTTTGATCGCAGAGACCAGCCCGAGTACGACATCTTCCGCAAAGTGGCTACAAATCTGAAGGAGGACTGCCAGTTCCACGTCGGCTTCGGGGACGCTGCCCAAGCCATGCATCCGCCTGGTAACCCACAGCAAAGCAAAGCACCAAACAATGTCATTCGATACTGATATCGGCTTTTTGTTTATTTCAGGCACGCCCATTATAGTATTTAGACCCGATGTGGCCCTGTCTCATGAAAATGATGAGACATACACTGGAACCCTGCAGAATTTCGACGAACTAAAAATATGGATCCAGGAAAAGTGTGTACCGCTGGTGCGAGAGATTACCTTTGAGAACGCTGAAGAACTTACAGAGGAGGGACTGCCATTCCTCATTCTCTTCCATCGCCCAGACGATCTTAACTCTATTAAGGATTATAAGTCAATAATCGAGCGGCAATTGTTGGATGAAAAGCGTATGTTGCAAAGCACTGTCTGGATATGTGCATTTACCTAAATCCAATCCTTTAATCCTTACTGCAGAGAACGTGAACTTTTTGACCGCTGACGGCAAGCGATTTGCACATCCGCTGCACCACCTGGGGAAATCCGAGGATGACTTGCCCTTGATTGCCATCGACTCGTTCAAGCACATGTATCTGTTCCCCCACTTTAGCGACATGTACTCGCCGGGAAAGCTAAAGCAGTTCCTACAGGATCTCTACAGCGGCAAGCTGCACAGGTAATTGGGTGAAACTAACACTGTGTATTGAGGAAAGCTTAACGGTCTCCGCTTTACAGGGAGTTTCATTATGGGCCGGATCCCACAAATGATATAGAACCTGACCCACACACCGGCAAGGGTACTTCACCTCCAGAGTCAAAATTCAAGGAACTTGGCCCATCCAAGCATCGCTACACCCTGCTAGAAAAAGATGAACTGTAATATAATTATGTATATTAAAAAAAAAATAAAGTAAAACAAAAAAAATGGTATTAAAATGCGGACTTTACTTGCTCGATGAGAGTAAAAAATCAACTCGTAAACAAACATTTTCGATTTAGTCGAAACGTCGCAGTTAAGAACAGTGGATAAATTATTCTCTTCAGTGGAGTTGAAAAATTCAATGTTAAAAACCTCGCTGTTTTTAAAGGAAATTGATTCAAGAGCAAACTGTTTGGTGCGGTATGTGGTCGGGCGGCACCGTTGGCCCGTTTTTCTTCAAAAACGAATTAAGAGCCGTCTTGAAAATCGAATAATCACCCGAAATGTCCCCGTTTGACTTTTTATTTTGGGTGCGTTAAGGATAAGTGCCTAGGGTTCCAGATGGAAGTCGTCATTGAGCCCATTGAGGACCATACTATCGAAAATGTGCTGAAGAATAGTGTCGATCGAATGACCTACTTCCGATCCGGGGCAGCCATATAAACAAAGTTGTTTGGACTATTCAATAAAACCCCTTTTTAATAGGCTGTTTGAAAACGTAAATTTTGTAGTAGGATCCTCAAATTTAGTTACGTTTAATTTTGTCATATTTGACAACAAATAAAATAGCAAATTTCTTAAAACAGGTTTTAATATGAACAGAAAATACAACGTAATAAATAAAACTAAAAAATCACAAGAAAGAAAGCAAACTTCGGCAAGTCGGAGTTCATATACTCTTGCAAAAATTAAATATTCTTGAAGACATTAAAATTATGATTTACTTGCGTGTATGTTTAAAAGAATTGAAGCTATGATGATTTGCAGCTTAATTATTTGATAGTTCCTATGGCAGCTATATATGGTTCTCCGATTTTAATAAAATTAAAAGCGCAATTCTGAACTGTCAAATTATTAATTTGTGCAAAAGAATTTCTAAATAAAATTGCAAAAAAAAAAGTTATAATTTTTTTATATTTATTTTGTTCCTAAGAGAGCTAAATGCTATAGTCGTCCGATTCGGCCCGTTCCGACATATGTACTACCTGCAATAGAAAGACAACTTTTGGGAAAGTTTCATGCAGATAACTTTCACACTGAGAGAATAGTTTGCGTAGAAACGGACGGACATGGTTAGATCAACTCTCCTAGTGATGCTGATCACTACTATATACTTTATAGGGTCGGAGATGTCTCCTTCACTGCGTTCTGAATTTGGCCTTTAAATAAACCAAAAACACAGAATAACGTTTTTGTTGTTTAAATTATATACATATATATATATATAAGTTATATATTTTTTTCGATATATAAGTTATACACATATATGTATATATATATATAATGTATTTTATTTGTATGTACCATGTTACAATTGTTAAATTAGATTACAATATATATAAGTTCAGTCAAAACGAGCGATAACCGTGTCCGTGTTGGCTAGAAATCGGTTAAAATGAAGATGTGCTGGTATTTATATTTAGCTCTGACTGGTAAATTTAAAAGTACAATTAAAAGAGTACTCGCTACCATTAATACGTAAATGTGAAAAAATAGGTGCCATTGATTGGCTGTTCTTAGTATGGCCTAGAACGCATGCCACCGTCATTCCGCATTGGACCGCCTCCTTCGCGCCGGTTTCCGCCCCCTCCTCCGCCTCCCCGGCCACCACGTCCTCCGCCGCCGCCACCGCCGTTGTCATTGAAGCGCGAGTATCCTCCGCCACCGCCGCCTCCTTGGGAGTTGCCCCCGCGGTCCCTGTTCTGATATCCTCCACCGCCGGATCCGCGATCGTTCCGTTCGTAGCCTCCGCCGCCGCCACCTCCGTAGCCACCACCACCGCTGGAACCTTCGTCGTCGCCTTTGGGCGTCTTGCATCTGTAAATAAAACAGGGGTTACAGTCGGAATCCATCTCTGGGTTTGTAACGCAACTTATTCAGTAGTTTCGTTGGTTAGTTAGTTAGTTACTTGCAATACACTAAATAAAATATAAGATTATTGCAAATGTAATTTAATCAAGATACCCAATTGAATATCAACATTTTTCCTCATTTTACTATACTAAAATATACATATTTTTTTTAATTTTTGCCGAGACAATTTAAGGGATTATATACTAGGCATTTTTTTATTATTGAACACTACGGAACTGTTTTAGACGATCAATATGTTATCTAAAAGTAAGTAAACATTACCTGTTTTTGTTATAAAAGCTCAATTTTTATCGAACAAATAAAAACAGAATTATTAAACCCTACATTTTTATATATAAAATAATCTGGAGAAATTTCAGAAAGATCAGTTCAGTTGTTTTTAAGTTATTTTTGTCATCGACTTAAAAACACTAGACAGTCGTCTGTGTTTTATGTTAATTATATTTTGATCGACTATAATTACTATCGACGATTATTAAATATCTAGAATGCTATAACTCCAAAATATACATATACATAACCCCTTTATATGTAAGTTTTACTTACCGATTGCACTCATTTCGCCAGGCAAAGTTGGTGTTGTTGCAGCTGTTGCACTTCCAGTCGCCATCACGGGGCTGCACGTTGCCACCGCCGCCGCCAGCACTTCCTCCGCCGCCCCGTCCGCCGCCGCCTTCCCGGTCAAAGCGGCCGCCTCCGCCTCCATTGCCGCCGCCGCCACCACCTCCGCGATCAAATCGGCCTCCACCGCCGCCACCACCACCACCTCCGCCGCCTCCCCGGCGACCACCGAATCCTCCGCGACCTCCGCCGCCCTTGTTCCAGTTGTTCTGCCGCTGGGCCAAGGAGACCTTGATCGCATTCCCGTTGAAGTCGCGGCCGTCGAACCACTCGATGGCGGACTGCGCCGCATTGGTGTCGTCGTAGGTGACAGTGGCCTCTCCCTTGGAGGCGCCGGTCTCCTTGTTCTTGTACAGCCAAATCTTTGGCTTCATAGTGCGCTTGTCCTTCTGTTGAGTCAAAATACAAGGTAGGAAAAAGGAATGGTCAAAACGGCTTGTCGCCTGTTGGGAGAGTCCGATGATGACTTGCCTTGATTATACCGATGGCTCCGAAGTGAGTTTCAATGTCCTGCTCTGTGGTGGATGGATCCATGCCCGAGACAAAGATCGTGTCCTCCTGGGTGATCATGTCGCCGCCACTGGAGCCCCCGCCGCCTCCTCCACCGCCGCCCGAATATCCACCGGGTCCTACAAAAGCGAACAGGATATTAGAAACCGCTGAGAATGCAGAGAACAGCTTAGCATGGGACTGTTTTTTCTCTTTTAGAATTGTTCCCCTCGTTTCAACCACCGAAAACGCAACGAAGGTGAAGGCCGAAGTTCTTTACAGTACATGCCCCTGCATAGTATCGAATCCTATCCCTTAGCTGTTCCGTGATATTAACATATAAGAACCAGGATAGCGTCTCTGCGCCTTTACTTGTATTTGAAACCATAATTTCGAGGTGTATTCTAAACCTTTAGTGGGCTCGGGGAGAGACATGGGGACACTTTGAGTGGGATTCGAGCTTTCAAAGCTAGACTGGTACTGGTACTGGTACAGGTACAGGTACTGGTACTGGTGGTACAACAAACACAAACAGGTGACCCGGCCAATAGCAATGACCTCGAATTGCCAGGAGTTAGCCTGTAACTCTGTATTGAGCCTATAATTCGTGACAACGCTTGACGTACACTTAACATTTCACAGAAATTTAATATTAAGTAACCCTCGAAGACCAAGTCGGTCGTTAACCATAATTGATCAAACAAGATCAACGAGTTTGAAGTACACTAATTACACTGTAAAGGCCACGCCACGTGGGCTTTTCGACAGATTTATAATGGATAACACCCACAAAGAATGCCGCCAGGAAAGAAACATTTTTCTTTGCTACGATTTTCTTATCTATTTTTTTTTTTTTTTTTTTTTTGCGTTGGAACTGATCGGTTCGGTTTTTTCATTTTGTTTTTAGGTTCAAGTTCAATATGTAGAAAAATATTGGTATACATTACTCGATATGATTGCAATTATTTGCATTATTTTTACCTTTGTTGTAGCTGTCCTTGCTGGCGCCTCCATTTCTAAAAGAGGATATTGAATAACTTATTTAATGCTTTGATTTTGGTTTTAATGCAGTATGGTGAGGTATACGCCTAGGATCCCTTTAATACATATTGATTTTTGGACATTAAGGTATCTAATACCATCTTAATAGCACCCGGCGCAGTTCGTTCAGTGACGACAGTAAAACAGCGGATATTCGTTTTGATAATTTCCATCATAATATCCAGAATCAAGTGGGACAATCACTGATCAAACTGCTAAGGAGGACAACGTAGTTTATGTATATAGATATACTCTTAAACATCTACTCTAAGCCTTTGTAGTCTTATATTGTCAACATCTTTCCATATTGGAATCCAAATGCACGAAAACGAAAGGGATGCAAGAGAAGCAATCTCTCCTAGGACCCTTTTGTTAAGTCCAGCTAATGTCTTATACATATGTCTTATGCTCAAATAATATCAATACTAACACAATATTATATTGTACAATACATTAAAACCATAAGGTAAAAATCATTAGTATTATCTTAAAGCTAGTCCTAGCAATAAAATCGATTTCGAAGTCAGTAGTGGTAAATACTAAAGTTTAGTTGCAAAAAAATTGATACCTCTCATAAATATAAATATGTGAATAAAGAATATAAAATCGTATCTTAGATTAAATTTGCTAGAGATTATGTTGTACCTTAAATTTAAAATAGTTATCGTCTCTATTTATCTACAATATTTTATTTAGAATCTGTGATAATTGAAGTAAAATTATGTGACTATACATAAATAATTTATTTAAAAAAAATCGGAAGTATACCAGCCCCTCCAAACCATTTGTTATGTATTTCATACTGTTTTTCTTTTTTTTTTTTTTTTTTTAGATATTTCTTGTTTTTTTCGAGCTTTAGTATGAATAATAGTCCCAAAAGGATCATTATATGGTTGATTAATTTTTTTGGGGATTTCGTGGTTCATATGATTGATTCATAATAATATTAATTCCATATCTTATATAAATGGCCTATAAATGTTCATGCCTGTTACACTTTTTTGTTGTTTTTTTACACTGTTGGTCCACACTTTTTCAGTTTTAGTGTATTTCGAAATGGTTGTGCTTGTAAAATGTCATGTTGAAAATGTTCACGTAGGGATGGATAATATGTTAAAAGCGAAACAATTATAATTAAATGTGCGCGAGATTTTCTATGGAAGAACCAGGCAATTCATTATAGATCTCAGCAAGCGAACATTGCATACCGATTTCAATGGCTGTTGAGCCACTACTTTTTAGAGTCTTCGGTGCAGCCATTATCTGTATCCCCACCAGGGCGATTTACCATTCAATACATTTGCATCATCAAAACCTTTTTACAATACCAGTTTCTCATGTTATGCTCGGCGTTTCGAAAAAAGAACATACATACACAAAATATACAGACATGCCGTGTTAATAATAAATAACCAAATAAGTGAATACTTTTTTGAGAGCAGCTGAAGAGCTGAAGGGATAAAACGCTCAGATGTTTTCTACGCGCTTTTCACCAGTCCAAATTATTTCGCTCGAATTGCATTTCACACTTCGACGCACGTTCGCATCGTTTGCATTTTCATACTTTCTGGCGCTTACTCCGCCACAGCGGATTATCTTTGATCACATTACACATTATTATGTTTTTGAGACTGGCTCGATTTTCGTCGGTTGGGCTGATTTGAATCAAAAATGTTTAAGTTCGTACACTGCTTATAGCTCTTATAACCACCGTAAAAACGGAACTCTACCCATGATTTGTATCTGTACCCGTATAGATATACTAGCTATAGTTAATAACATACCCGTAGGAATTGCCTCCTCTGTCGTTCCATGAACCGCCGCCACCACCTCCGCCGCCGCCAGAACCACGATGACCGGAATCATAACCTAAAACATGAATGTGTCGATATAGAGCAGCGTTCAATGCTGGGATTTAGCGTACGCCTTACCACCGCCTTGTTTGCTGTAGTTCGGAGGTGGCTCGTTGTAGTTACCAGTTTTACTTGGCATTTGCTGGTAGTTTGGTGGGGGGACAGCGAAATTATTATACCCCTGTCCGGCACCACCACCATAACCGCCACCTAGAGTGCACATATTTCAGTGTTTTCTCGAACATACCAACGCGGATATAGGCTCTACTTACGCTCCATGACTAATAAACGTTGCAAACGGTCTCCTTTCGATCAATACGGTAGCAGGAGTTTCAATACTCTCTGCTTTCAAACTGCCTGAATGGATATAGCGTCAGTTCCCTACAAATTTTATTTTAAAATGGCGTGTGAAAATAAATTAGAGATGTGACGACTAGGGCTGGTAGATGACTATCGAAGAGTCTATCGAAATGTGTATACACATAAATATATCGCGAAACACGTGAGAATGGAACATTATTAATACTCGATATACGCCGTTTTGTAATTTTTACGCAGACTAAAGATTTATGTCGAACCTTAGAAATGAAATCCAAAGCAAAATAAATAAAGTTCACTTCACACAAAAGTATTAATTTTATGTTATTGGTTCTCCGGTCGTTTTGCAACACTGCCTCATAGCAGCCCTGCAATCATTGTTTACATTCGTTTGCACGAAACTTTGAATGAAAGTGGAAATCAGCTGTTCGTGCTTTAAAATTGAATTGGTGTTTACGTGGATTTTTTTTTCGCTGTCAAATTAAAGCAGACCCCAACACAAAATGATTGAGGTAACAGATCTGCAAAGTAAGTCGTCGTTGATGATCCGGACCACAAACCAGACCCACGCTCATTGAAACCCTCCCACAGAAATTGGCATCGGCTTGGCTGGTTTTGGCATCTCGTTTCTGTTCCTTGGTATGCTGCTGCTGTTCGACAAAGGCTTGCTCGCCATAGGCAATGTACGTGCCCAGCTGCATCTGCATTGCATCGCCGTGAGGTGTATAATAATAGCAATTGACTCTTCCCGCAGATTCTATTCATATCGGGACTGGGTTGTGTCATTGGTGTGGAGCGCACCCTGCGCTTTTTCTTCCAAAGGCACAAAGTCAAAGGAACGACTGCCTTCTTCGGGGGAATCGTCATCGTCCTACTGGGCTTCCCCATCATTGGCATGATTATTGAATCCTATGGATTTTTCGCCCTGTTCAGGTTAGCAGCACTTGGGTTATGTTTCATTCGGATGAGTGTTAAGCCGTTTTAACCGATCACGCAGTCCGTGGTCTTTCCACTTCGCGTGTTCTTAGGGACTTTACGAATTAAGTTAAATCTCACTTGACTTGGACAAAAAACATAAGTTTATCGGTATATATCTTTAAGCCAAACCCTCAAAGTCATTTGTGAATCTTAGAGTACAAGTAGAGAAGAGTTCCAAGGCATCTGGCTAGGACCTTTGTTTGTTAATCTCTGAATATAATTGCCAGGTTTTGATAAAGGAAAACCAACGAATAGTATATCGTTAGGAACAACAAATTTATTTATTTATTAATTTAGCCAATAGATTGAATCCTTATCTGGCTAATAAGTCATATACATAACTCTAAAACTATTGCGTATATAATATTCCCTGAGCGAATTGGTTACAAAAAAATGAATCGGCTGCAGTGCAAATTTGAAGAATTTTTTCCTGAAGCCGTTAAATTTATTAAAAGAATGGATATTCCTATTAAAATGCTTAATTGGTAGTTATTAAAAATCATACGGGTATACCCTATCCTGTGGTTTCCATTAGGATAATTACATACTTAGGTATGTTTACTTAAAACAAGAAGGTACGCTGTAGTCGAGTTTCCCGCCTAGTAGATACCCTTTGCTTAGCAAACGATTTCAAAATAATAATAATCAATAATAATAATTTAGCTTAAAAGGGCGCCGAACTTTTTATCAAAACACTCCTCGCTTACAGCGACTATACATAGTTGCATCATGAGCGGCCCTATCTAATGCAGAGCAGCGACAGAGCGCCAGAGTACCATAAAACCATAATAAAATATAATTGATAGGTTTGATAGCGAATTTGCAATTAAAGCTCATAGAACTGGCCCCAAAAAACAAACAAAACAAAATGCTTTTTTGGTGCACCAATGAACTTAACGTTGGTTAATCTATGCATATCCGCAATGATTTTCATTTTATGAGTTTTTTCGTTAAGAATCAAATTTCTACTAAAGATCGAGGACTTGAATGTTGCTTTGCAATACCAAATAAACACCTGTTCAGGCAAGTAAACAATTCGTCTAAGAGAGAATAGCTTAAAAGCCAAACTTATTTATTATGCTCTATAAAAGTTCTCTGGTGGTTACTTTAAATTATTTGACCTAAAGAATTCGTGGAGCAAATTGAATATTTTAATTTCCTAAGGTAATATATGTTTTTTTCGGTCATAACAGAAGCACTTATTTACTTGCTTCAATATATCGAATATTATTGTTAAAGTAAACATATTTTTATTTTATACAAATCATAAAAAAAGAACATTATTGCTATGAAACCACGAGTGCCTCCATTAAGTCAGTTTTTATACACTTGCAGAGGGATTTATAATTTCAGTCAGATGTTTGAAACGCATTGAAGGAGACGTTTCCGACCCTATAGAGTATATATAATCCGGCTTGTTTAGACTTATACACTACCTGCAATAGGAAAATAACTTTTGGGAAAGTTTTATGCAGATAGCTTTAAACCTGAGAGACTAGTTTTTGTAGAAACGGACGGACGGAAATGTCTCCTTCACGGCTTGCAAACTTCTGACTGACATTATAATACCCTCTGCAAGGGTATGAAAAAACTTAAGGAAAACAAATATTCATATAACCCAATTTACTACAAGATGGACCATGCTAGTCCTTTTGCGAGGACAATATAGGCGGATTTTGTGGTGGGCGGAAAACAACAATAATCCCTGGCTTTTACCATGTTTTGTGTGCCTTGATCTTCAGACAAAAGCAATAAAATGAACACAAATGAGACGATTGTCTCGCTTCGACAAATTTCGAACCGTAGAAGATATTTCCCCAAAACAGATCAAGGACTTTTGACAATTAACTTTCCCCTCGTTTAAAACTTTCCTTCTTTCCTTGCAGCGGCTTCTTCCCCGTGGCCATTAATTTCCTGGGACGTGTGCCGGTATTGGGATCGCTGTTAAATTTACCATTTTTGCAAAAGGTAAGGTAGCACGAAGCTTCTTATAGGAAATAAGTTGCTCATCGTCAGTAATACATCATACATTTTCGACCTCATCTTTGATTAAGAAGTCCCATTGAATAAACTAAAGGGTCCAGTCGCAATCGACCACGCAGAAACTAGATTTGATAGCCACATTGGTGTTTATCTAAGCTATGTATGTATTTCAACATTTACAAGTCCAAAGAAGTGGGTGCCGATAATTTAGTGGATCTTGTCCCAGTCCTCACGCTCCTCGCGCTCTTTCACGACCTCATTCAGATAGGGCTCCAGGTACTTGACGTCCTCCTCGTACTTGGTCCACTGCTCCTTGGGCAGGATCGTCTTGGTCATTGACAGATGGAGGGCCCGCATAATGCGGTAGTTGCGCTCGTCGTACAACTTGCGGGGCAGGCGGCGCACGGCCTCTTTCACGTCCTCGTTCTCGTACAGACAATCGTCACGGTGCAGACCTGTAAAACGCCGTAGTCGGATGTTGAGGCTCTAACAATGATTGGTCTAGTTACTCCTCCTACCGTATTGGTTGAATCCGGAAAGGTTGTAGGCCCATCTACCCAGATTAGCTGCAGGGAAAAAATCAGCATTACATATTTACGTAATCACATTCTGGCCTTGCGGACTTTAGCGCATCCGACGCGTGTCGCTCATTTTTCCGAGCCAATACTTACAGAGAACTGCTGGACCCCTCCTGGCAATATAGCTCGACATGATAAACGTAAAATTGGAAGTTAGGAAAGTGAATCCTCTCTGCTTTTTTACTTTAGGTATGAAAGCTGGTTATTGCTAGGGATGGGCACGGGCAACTTATCGCAACAAGCTATCGATTAACGTTCTCATATGCTATCTTGAAAAATCGATTTTCAAATTATATCGATATATCGCAATAAAGTATAATACGTTCACACCAAACTGTGATAGAGCGTTTTCTTGTGTCTTGTTTTTGTTATTGTTTATGGGTAACTAACAATTCGTTAATTTTGTAGAAATGTCTTTAATAAGCATGCGTACTAACAGACTTACCAAGATTAACTGTAACGTTCTGCTCTTTTCATTTTTTTAGATTGTTCAAAAACTCGGAGGAGACGGAAACCGAACTACAGTATAATTATATCTGTACATTTTACCATAATTATGCGAAACTTTTGTATAAAGTAAATAAATCAATTGAAGTTCTTGTAAACCCCATTTAGATCCATGTAAAAATCTGCCTTTATAAACAAAATATTTGTAGTTTACCAAACCGAAAATTGTCGATTTTCTTTTTTGGGTTGTTGTGTTTTATTCCCAATCTTAGTGCTCTTCAATAAAATAAAATAATAATAATTTAAAAAAAACCATAAACATACCCCATATGGCAACCTCTAGGCGGCTTCGCTTGCCTAATATTTAACAAAACTTGTAACAACATTATTATGGGTGTTCCACAGAAATCACCTTGGTTTTGAAAACTATTTTTTAACAAGAAAGAAAGCAAACTTCGGCATGCCGAAGTTCATATACCCTTGCAGCTATTGCATGAATTAAATACTTTTGAAAACATTTAAATTATGATTTACTTGAGTATATGCTGAAAAACATTGAAACTATGATGATTTGCAGCTCAACTATTAGTTAGTTATTTTATATATTTTTATTATTTCTATGGGAGCTATATGCTATAGACGTCCGATTTTGATAAAATTTAAAACATAATTCTAAAATAATTAAACATTGCTATATGTCGAAGAACTAAACAAAAAATTAAAAAACAGAAAAGTTATAATTTTTTTTCATTTATTTTTCCGATTGTTCCTATGGGAGCTATATGCTATAGTCGTCCGATTTTGATGAAATTTAAAACATAATTCTGAAATATTTAACCATTACCATATCTCGAAGAACGAAACAAAAAATTAAAAAACAGCAAAGTTATAATTTTTTTTCATTTATTTTTCCGATTGTTCCTATGGGAGCTATATGCTATAGTCCTCCGATTTTGATGAAATTTAAACCGTAAATCGAAAATATTTAACCATTACTATATGTCGAAGAACTAAACAAAAAATTAAAAAACAGCAAAGTTATAATTTTTTTTCATTTATTTTTCCGATTGTTCCTATGGGAGCTATATGCTATAGTCGTCCGATCCGGCTCGTTCCGACTTATATACTACCTGCAATAGAAAGACAACTTTTGGGAAAGTTTCATGCAGATAGCTTTAAAACTGAGAGACTAGTTTGCATATAAACGGACGGACAGACGGACAGACGGACGGACAGACGGACGGACAGACGGACATGGCTAGATCGACTCTACTAGTGATGCTGATCAAGAATATATATACTTTATAGGGTCGGAAACGTCTCCTTCACTGCGTTGCAAACTTCTGACTGAAATTATAATACCCTCTGCAAGGGTATAAAAAGGGTGCACCATTAATTTAAATATACTTCTGTGGGAAAAAAGTAAGGTGAGTTTGCAATTTAAACTTCGCGGGCCTAACATTTCCGACTAATTATTTTTTCTTGAGTTGACAGGATTGTTAGTGACAGCTGGTTCAAATTTCATGTCAATGTACTCTTGGTCGTTCGGTAAAAACAAGCTTAAATATATTACTTTGGGTGGCTGTACTTTCGAAAAGCCCCACCAATGGATTAAATCTTTATCTGGCTACAAGTTATAAACTTAACTTAAAACTAAATTTTACGTATAAAATACTCCCTAAGCACTTGCCTGAGCATATTCTTCTCGGATCCTCAAAAAAAAGCGAATGCTCGCTGGCAAGGAGCTAAACAACCACAAAGCCCTTCAAATTGACTCATTCCACGCAGTAGGCAACATTGGCTGGAGTATGATATAGACTTGGCTCAGAAAAATGTAACGGTAGCAGTGCAAATTTTAAGAATTTTTTTTTTGATGGCGCTCAATTCTATTAATATGAATAGTGCCTGTAGGATTCCAAATAAAATAAGAGTATTCCACCCTGGAACGCACAAATGCTGAATACACAGACAGTCTCGAGAATGGGTCTGTAAATAGCAGGATACGCCTTTGGAAGAATTAAATTTAAATGGTTAATAAACAGAAACTTTCTATCAAAAAGGACCCTCAGATCCACAGTCTCACTCAGCGTACACAGAAACAAATTGATAAGATCTGATACTAATTCCAAAGCAATTCCGTATCATTCTATGCGTGATACATGACCTATCAGTTTAATATCATCGAAATGTAAATATCGACAATATCAATTTTACACAAAAAAAGTATTAATATATTTAACATTTTTTTGATATTAAAATGTTGAATTAACCATGTTGTAAATTTCATATTTTAATATAAAAACTTTATTATTGCATTTATGATATTAAAAAAATCGAATTGTTATTATTGTGTATTTAATATTTTATTAAAAATAAATGTAAAAGCAGAAGCGAAAATTTTTTTAGCAATTGCTAAAAGTATGTACATTTGTTTAAGAAATATCTTAAAATATATATGATGCCATACATCTACTTATAAATACAATTTTTTTCTTATCAAAATTAATTTTCCCCAAATGTTGTGGTTGAATCGTATGTACATGTATATGCGGTTTCTGCTGATACTTAAGCTTCTGGTTTAACTTCTGGAAAGAAAATATAAAGTAAAATGGAATTAAGTCCTGTTTTCTTGTATTGATAATCAACTAAAAGTCGAAAAGTCAAAAGTTCTAGGTCTATTTGAAATATACATTTTTTGTTTATTGACTTATTTCGGTAAAGTTAATATTCAACAAGATATCGACCAAAGTAGGTTGCTTTATAACAGTCATTTTAAAATGACGGGCCGATATGGCAACATCACCTAGACAGGGCTGAGAAAACTATCTTAACGTTCATCGATACATTATCGCGTTCGTGAATATTATCGAAATATTATCTTAATGAATAATTATATGCATGCGAAATTAAAGCCTGATTCCATTGGCGCACTATAACGCATTTAGCCTAATGCGGATTTATTTACACAGGGAATCCCATAAGGCTAAACGCCGCATTTAAAATGAATGCGATTTTTAAATGCGATTAAAAACCATTTGCCCCAAACGTTTTATAAGAAATACCGGAAAATACCGATGTTTAACGATATTTTGTTCGTGCCACCACTACAACAGCTGTTTTCTATAAGCAAGGTTGGCGCAATTTTTGATATCTTTTGAATATAAAATCTATTTTGTATAAAAATGACTGAAACCTAGAGCGCACGCTGCAAATTCTGCTCGCAGTATCACAATGCATTACTGCTGGATCTCTGGCATAAAATAACTCCCACATATACGGGGATCCTTGCCCTTCTTAGAAACTGTGGTGGTCTCCATTGCAAACCCGTCATAACAACGCAATCAGCTTCTCTTCTTTGTCGTTCAAGTTGGCAAATGTCTCAGTCGCAATATAGATGTCCTGCTGAGCATTACAGAGTTTAGTAAACTCACTCATGTTCATTAATTTTAATTAATTTCTTTTGGATTTGCTAAAATTCAAAAGTAAACAAGCCCAGATCAGCTGTTCGTGCCACTCACATGTCGGAGTAGCATTAACTAAATGCTAATGCGCCAATGGAATCAGGCACATTTAAAAAGTCCACTAATGCGGCAATGGAATCAGGCTATAAGACAATCCCCAACAATGATGAGCCCCGCCATTCAACTTTTTTCCGAGACGCTCCAGAGTAATTGCTGCCATTGCCGTACCGTTCAATCTCTCATTGTAAAGTTAATATAATAAATAATAATAATAATTTAAACTGCTTCCTGAAAAAGAGTTCTCAAAAATGTGGCTTTTTTTACACGAATTGACCATACTCCCACATTAAACGCGTTCGTCTGAGAGAACGTACTTATTCAAGTATCATTAAAGTAGCTAATTTCTTTACTTTCTTTTTAGTCTCCCAAATGGCTTTGATCCCCCAAATATGTCTCGAAGGTTTCGTCACCCACCCACTTTCCCATTCATAAGGGAAAATTCGACTTCTCCCACTCTTCGAAAATTTGTATCACGTCACCCATGCCTGATGCTTATTTGGACGACAAAATGCTCCAAAAAGCACAGGAAGCAAGGATGATAAAGTATATAAGGAGCCTAGTCTTTTTTTATTTAATTAATTAATTTAAAAAACAAATAGCGAAAGTATATTGTTTTTATTCAAAACAAAAGCAAATTTCTTCGATTGAAAGAATGCGTCAACATACGGAAATCCTTATTTCCCATTTAAAGATTATTTTCGTAATTTTTGCGATAAATTCCCGCTATCACAAAAGCCTTGAATAAAATGATTGATAAATGCTTATATTTTAAAGTACATACCTTCGTTTTATTTATGGCTACAAAATATCAATTTATACAAATTAAAGAACATATACAAATTCTTTATATATACAGTGCTCTCCCTTAAGAGTGAACACTTGATTATGTAAACATTTGGTAAAAGTGAATTTTTAAAAATTTTCGTTTAAACTAAAAAAAAAAGGACTTTGTTGCTGAAAACGTTTTTGTTTTGTTTAAAAATATGTTTATTTTTTTGTGATTCGTTATAGTGAACAAATTCGATTCAGTGCACACCCTTGGGTTTTCTTAGTTCACTGTTTCGAGTGAGCACTGTACATACACTAAGGCTGGCACGAACACGACACTAATTTAAGTTTGCTCTAGTTTTTGTTTCTGATTTCTGAACACACGTTTTATATACATATGTATAACATTGAGACCCGTTCCAGCCTTAGTTTACACATATATCACTGGGCACATAATTCAGTTACTCCCAATGCGGTGAGTGGCCGGGAGAAAGAAATCACTTATTGTTCTTTGCTGCAGTCAATGACAAAAACTCCACCTTTCGGGCCAAGTATTCATTGTAACGAAGAAATGCATAGCTAGACGGGGCGAAAGAGAGTGAAAAGACGAGCATTAGTATTTACTGGTAATGGTTAATATCCAGAGACATAATAGTTCATTTAATATACTCGAAGATATGCTTATGGTTTTCTATTTTATAATTACGGTTTAAGTTTTAATAAATATCAACGGATTCATATAGCTGTCATTGGAACGATCAACAAATCCATCGGCAAAATGACATGGCTTCATTGCTTTTAAACATATACGCATAAAAAAACAAAAAATAAATTTAATCGTTTTATAGAATATTTTATTTTTCTAATAGCTGAGAGGATATATAAACTTTAACTGGCCGAAGCTTGATTTTTTTTCTTGTTTATGAGTACTTTTGG